TGATGGCTCCATCATCATCATGACAACAACAACAATATCAATATCAACTCAAGTTGATATACATAACATATGGGTTTGTTTATTCAACAGGGAGGGGAAAATACAAGCAGCGATGAAGCAACGAGTGTGAAGCTGTCATTTGATTCTCTTTCTAAAAAGTTATCTTTTTGAGGTTTCTTTTCTTAGAGAGAGAGAGAGAGAGAGCGAGTGGGAGAGGACAAGGTGTAAATGATAGTTTTTCAGTGGTGGAGGGTGACCTTCTTCTGAGTAGGGTCACGCATTTCTGACTTTTTTGTTTGGAAATAATTGAGGGAATTATTTTTTCGTCCTTGTATTCTAAATATTCAATGATTGAGTCCTTTTAGTCTTAAAAAAATATAAATTAGTCCCTTGACTCGTTGATATTTGGCTTTTTAATACATTTGTTGTTTTTTTTCTCAATTCTAAATGTACTCCTTCCCAATTTTTAGTCCTTATCATTGTTCATCAATATTGTAAAAGGGTTTTGATTTTTTTTTCTTTGTATCAAGTTGCAATTCCTCTTTTAATTTTTGGTATCATTGTGCCACAAAAACGGTTATATATTTATTTGATTTATATCACCAATAGAATTGCTATTTTTTATAAAATAAACTAGAGGAATGGATTAATTAAAGACTAAAAAGACTCCGAAAATTTATATATACTGCATGGGTTAATGGTATCGGATACAAATAACAAATGTAAATTATGCGCGATTAGTTTTTAATTTATTTATAGAATATTTCAAATACACCTTTTAATTTATTTATAAAATATTGATAGAATATCTGAAGGTAAAACTCGCAATAATGGAATATAATACTCTGACGACTTTCGATCTTTTTATTACCATAATAGTTTTAAAATTAAAAATCCACTTGATCTAAAATAAAATCACGGGGCATGCCTAGAGAACGATACACAAAATATTAAAATTAATATGACCTAAATATAATATTGCATTGAAATTTAGAAATCGATCGAAATAAAAAATGAAGAAGAATAAAGTAAGATAATGGACGATCAACCTTCGGATTTATTTTTTCTAACTGTGTGTATGAATATTAATTAATTTGTCATAAATTCTCAATTCTTACTTCGAAGCTTAATTAATTCTTCCCACGATATAATGCACCATGAAGAGAGGTAATATTCTGAAAAAAAGAATGGAGGGTGGTCATTTTTTGTTTAATTTGATTTTTATAAAAAATAATAATTAAATTTATTTTTTTAAAAAATCAAAACTGGTTCAAACCAACCGGTTTAGATTTGATGCTATTTGATTTTTTGAACAAAAACTTATTCAAATCGATTTGACTTAGTTTTTCTGATTTAACTCTATTTTTCTGTTTGGATTCGGTTCGGTTTTTTCAGTTTTAGGTTTATAAAACTAAAACCGAACTTAATCTATTTGTTTTTTCAAAATTCTAATAAGTTTAATATGTTTTTTTCACGATTTAGTTTTTCTAATTATATTTTAGTTTTTTAGTTTAATTTTTTATTTTTATTTTTAATGATCGTGCATGCATGGTAATTGGCGTGTTAAGCTTTTTAAATAATTAATTAGAAACATACTTTAAATAAGAAAAGAGAATCAACCTTGCAGAAATCAATCACTGGATCGATGAGGAGCTTCGAGGAAGACTTGCTATTTTTGCAAATTAATTTAATTTTTTTTGGGGTGTGGGAAGGCTTGCTATTCCTGCCTTCTCATTGTAGCAAATACATTATTATTTTTTTGGTGTCTTAACAGTGGTAAATGATAAGATATCACGGAGCTAGCTTTCAATAAATCAATTCCTTTCAGATTGGATCTAATTAGGTCACCCATGATAGATTTGATGATGCATTGGAAGAAATTATTTTCTTTAAACCTAGTTTAAGATCCTCAAAACATTATTGTATCAAAAAATTTAAATATTTTCATAATTAACTTCTTCTTAAAACTTAAAATTCACTATTATAGTTGCTGCAAATAAAATAGCACCGGATTTTGGGATGTGTCTCTTCGTTTTGACCATGACACAAATGTATAACGCATAAGCTCCTTTTTTGGAAAAAACGTCCGAATAAAGATTGTAGTGGAATTGGAGAATTTAGAAGGTTATATATATAATATTAGCAGATCATGACACAATATAATAATGAAATTATAAAAACTAATTAAAAAATTAGAATAATCATATAAAAAAGCAAATACAACATACTATAAAATTCAGTTTTTAATAAATTAAATGTTAAATAATAAAATTTAAAAATATATATAAAAATTTAAAAAGAAATAAAAAACAAAGGAAAAACAATATTATAATGAATAGTTTTTTGTGAGGTGGTGCACAATAAAAACACCATATTTTTTAGATTTTTATTAATTTTTTATTTAATCAAATAATTATTTATGCCAATGATAAAACTAAAAAAATATAATAAAAATAAAAATTTAGATTAACCGCATTAATATGCTAACCCATCAACTACAAACATATAATTGAGATAGCTCTGTAAAATTAGTCATGTTGTATAGCTTGATCCACGAAATTAGCAGGTTTCATTTGCAAACAAAACTACCTTGCGAGGTGAGATCAACCATTTTCTACTTAAAATGCCGAGGGATGATTTAAAAGAAAATACAATGAAATAAAGATACAAAAAAAAAATAAACACTAGTATAAAAAATAAGGATTAAATTTGACATGAAAAAAATTAAAATTAAATGATGAGGGATAGAGTTGAAACAAGATTTGAGATAAAACTTAAATGAAATCTAATAATTAGAGATGAAATTGAAGAAAAAAATAATAATTTTTTTTTTTTAAAATAAATAGTAATTAAAAAAATAAAAATTAAATTGAATATGAAATATTAATGGTAGGACACTCCCATGTTTTTTTATTAATATTTTATATATGTGAAAGATCAAATTGCCTATAAGTTATCTTGATTATATATATAAAAAAAAAGAAAAAAACCCTTCAGAATGAAGCTTTATTTTTGTTGCTTTCTAAAAGTTAATATTTTTTTTATGACTAATTAAGTCATTTAACTATTATAATAATGAAAGTCTTAAGTCAAAACTTATCTCTAATCAACTTGTCAATAATTAATAAATCTTTATAAAAATACTAAATTATCCTTTATTTGTTAAGTTTGTGGATGTTTTTATATAGAGCAAAAGTAGAGAAATTCTTGTTCATTTAGTTTCTAAGTAATAAACGGTAGCTTGCTCTTGATAAAAACAACAAACAAAATAAAAAATAAAAAATAACAAGCTTACATACAAATGTGAAGAGGGTAAAACGTAATTAAAGTCTACTTGGTACATGATTGAATTGATTTTTAAAAGGACACAAACCTGATTATAAATGATATACAAATGTGTATCTACAATGTCCAAAATTTTCCACCGTGATTATCATGTTTCTTTATAAAGAAAAAGAAAATGAAGAAGACGGCGACGGCGACGGCGACTTGCAAGTGAATTGCAGGGATGACTGCATGAAAATGTCGATTAAAGAGTTTTAGTCTATTTCTCAAGTTCAAGATCAAGGAAAGTATTTTTTTTTTAATGCATTAAATCAATGTAAAGACAAACTCTTAAAATCACTCTGAGAGAGACTTGGTCTCGATTGAAGAATAAATGGTAAAAGGATATCCTTACTAATGATATCAAGTTCTTTGCCTCCTACTTAATAATGAAAAGGAAAGGAGACTTGGGAGAGGTCTGCCCAAATCTTGAGCCGCATGCTTCGTAGGTACATTGCAAATGTAGAAGGAAGCTCGTTTTTAAGAGAGTGTTTGTCTATGTTCTTCAGTCTGTGTTTTGTTTAAAACACATATAATAATGTTTGGTAACCAATTGAAATGCTATAAAACAAAAGCAGGTGCTATCTATTTTTTACAGTTGCAACATGCTCAACTGTTTAATGAACAGTGCACATCCCTTAATAGTTGTACTGTTCAAGCGAATAATATAAGTAAATTTTAATTTATTTACCTTGTTCACTTAACAGTGGTTTTTTTAAATTAGTTAATAGTTTTTTTTAATTATAACAATTAATTAATTTTACTTGTACTGTTCACATAAATATGAATAGTAATTTTTATTTCTTTAAAAAAATTAGTTTAAGATGAATTAAATTTATTTGTACTGTAATCTTAATTTTATTTCTGATAATATTTTATTTAATTTTATTGTACACTTAAAAAATCATGAAAACTGTAATTCTTGTCAGATGAATTTTGTATGTAATAGAATTGTAAATAGTTTAATGAAATAAAAAAAAAATTATATGAAGCATGATTTATTTCATGATGAAATAACAATAGTTAAATCTACAATATTTAAATTAAAAACCATAAATATTAATATATATTTTTTAAATTATTTTATAACTTTAATTTCATAAGCATTCTTAACCAAACACATTAAATTACTTTTTGTTTAACCTCAATTTCAACCACAGTTTTAACCAAACATATATTTTTTTAAATCAACCTCAACTAAAAATACTTTTTATAAAATAATTTTTTTAAAATTACAATCACAACAACTACCATAACACCAAACACATTATAAAACCGCATTCTCAAAATTAGTGTCATTATGGTTATTTTCCATCTATGATCTATGAACTTTATGCACCATCGTAAAACTTATAAAAAAAAAAAAAAAAAAGGAAATTGCTTCCTCTGTTTCGAAGTTGTTCTCTCCATATTAGTTCTCCATCCATAGACATTAAAAATGAAGAAAACGAAGAATTAATCATACATTATTTTATCCCAAGAACTCTCATAACGCATCGCTTTAACTGTTGATTCAAAGAGAGTTGCGACATACATCATTCAAGAACTAGAATTCTATTTAAGCTTGCTATTCACGAGGAATGTGATTTGCCTTCGTCTATTTTCTTCTATATTTTTAACAGATACAAAGACCAAATAGAATGGTAAAAAAAAAAAAAACCAAGAAGAAGAAGATGAAAAGAAACAGCACTGGCTATTAGTTACCAATCACAATTGACTCCAAGTCCCAATTATAAATGAACTTTCTGAAACAAGTTTCAGTGAAACTCTCTATTCATTATGGTTATTGTAAGCTATCACATAAATCTACATAAGTTCCGGTGACATTCATCTAGCATCACGAGTATTGAGGCAAGATGTCGAAAATGGATTCAAATCCATCCATGCTCAGACATCATAGATCGATCACAGCACAACTATGCTTCCCCTGAGTTTGAGCATAGCTTTATTCAACTTTTCTTTCAATATATGCTGTAGCAAAAAGAATTTACAACACCATTAGTATGAGCAGGTTTGTCCAGATTTCTCAAAGGCAAGTCAATATTGACATATAGAAAGAGAGATCAAGAACTAACCCTCTCAAGCATGTCCTCCAAATCTGTCTCCATAAATCTTTCTTGGTAGATGGTTTTTGCTCACCACAATCATCACTCGGAACTTGTTGTAAATTTTGTCAACTAATCGAAAAAACGCACCCCTCCAGGAATCCTTGAAATATAGCGTGCTAGAAACTCCTACGAATCCAGTCATAAAACCCACTCCCATACCGCCATAAAACCAAAGAATTTCGAACTCATCTTCTGGTCTTCCCTCATCAGGAGGCAGTGCCACTTCTTGACAGTCGTCTAGTGGAAACCCGCAAAGTCCACTGTTCCCAGCGTAGATGGATTTGTCATCTAAAGTTTGGAGCTGATTTCCTGATGGAATGCGTCCAGATAACTTGTTGAATGACAAGTTCAAGGCACTTAGGAAATTCAATTGAGAAAGGCTTGTAGGAATTAAGCCAGAAAGTTCATTCCTAGACAAATCAAGCGATTGCAACTGTCTCAAATCTCCAATCTTCCAAGGAATTTGCCCCTTAAAATTGTTTCTAGATAAATTCAGGTTTTGTAGCCCCAACAGATTCATAAGCTGATTTGGAATCTCTCCAACAAACCTGTTTCTTGAAAGATCAATGGAAAAGAGAAACGGAAGTGTCTTGGTGTATTTCAGCTGCATTCCCTTCATATAAACCAAAACATTCTCCTCATATACCACAGACTGAAACCCATAAATATCATCAAATATGGTAGGACCATATGGCCATTGTTCTTCCTTTGAGAACAAATTTGCAATCATTCCAGTAAAATTGTGAAAACAGGAGGGAATAGTTCCGGTCATCTCATTGTGTGCCAAGCTCAAAATGCGAAGAGAAGTGAGGTGGCAAAGTTCCTGAGGAATCTCACCTTGAAACCTATTGGAATGAACATCAAGCACTGACAATGAAGATAGCCCTTCACCTATCGATGGAGGAATCGTACCATTTAGCACATTGTCACTGAGATCAAGAATGTGCAAGTGCTTTAGCTTCTCTAACGACGCAGGTACTTTTCCCTGCAAACTATTGTTTCGCAGGTGGAAAGATCGAAGTTGCTGTAGAGAACCCAGAGAACTTGGAATATGATCATCCAGAATGTTACTAGACAGATCCATCACGCGTAGATGCTGCAACTTGCTCCAGCAATTAGGAATTCCTCCTGAAAACTGATTTTCTGAGAGATCAAGAAATCGCAATCCCCCCATCTTGCATAAAGAAACTGGGACGTTCCCATTTAAGGAATTGTTGGATAGATGCAACAGGGTCAATCGTGGCATCATGTTGCCAATATCTTGGGGGATTTGGCCTCGAAGAAACTTGTTGGAGACGTCTAATTCAATCACATCTGAAGGAAAAGGAGTTAGAGGACCCTCGAACTTGTTGGAATACAAGTATATGAATCTGGAAGAAGCATCGAAAGATTTTCTCAGCTTCGGCAAGTTTTTTCCAATTTGATTTAGAGACAAGTCCAATAATACAATAGTGGAGGAAATGCTTTCAAACCAATCCGGAATTCTATCCGAAATGCTAGTGTTGGACATCTCTAATATTGAAAGATTTTTCTGTGTTTGGAGCCATAGTGGAAATTGGGGTCCAACTTTGCAAGAAAACAATGCAAGCTCTCGAATTTGGAAAGGAGGTACCCAAGTGGGACGAAGATCAAGAACTAGTGAGTTACGGTACAAATACAAGGTAGTCAAGGAGGCGAGCTTTGAAAAGTGACGTTCAGAAACCATGCCACTCAATGAATTATTATGGATATTCAAAAACTCAAGATTGAAAAGCTGTCCAACGCTTTCCGGAACACTACCATTCAGGTAATTATGGGAGAGGTCTAAT